CCAGACACTGCAGAACAGCAGCATGCTGAATGTGAGGAACCTGGCCTCATTGAACGTGTCAGGCAGGTTCCTGGCCAGGAAGGCCACCGTGAAGCTCCCCAGGGCCAAGGAGCCCAGGTAGCCCAGCACACAGTAGAAGGCAGTGACTGAGCCCTTGTTGCACACGATGATGAGGCTTCTGGGTTCAGAGTGCGAGTCTGTGTCAACAAAAGGGGGAGAGGATCCCAGCCAGATTGCACAGATAATCACTTGGATCAGGGAGCAGATGGGAATGGCAGAGTTAGAGGCCCCTGACAGCAACAAACATCTCAGTGTTCTTCCAGGTGTCATGGCCTTAAATGCTAGAATCACAGTCATGGTTTTGGCCAAAATGGTGGAAACAGCCACAGTAAACACTAGCCCAAATATCACCTGTCTGAGGATGCAGGTGGCTGTGTTGGGATGACCAATGAAGAGCAAGGAGCAGAGGAAGCAGAGCAGGAGGGAGATGAGCAGGGTGAAGCTGAGAGCCCGGTTATTGGCCTTGACGATGGGAGTGTCTCGGTGCTTCACAAACAAGCCCAAAACCACAGCTGTGACCACAGAGAAGCAGAGGGCTGTGCAGGCCAGTGCCTTTCCCAGCGAATCCTCAAAGCCCAGGAAAATGACAGGCTTAGGGAGGCAATGAGTTCTCTCACTGTTTGGGTACTGTTCAGGTGGGCACAGGGAACACTGCTGTGCATCTGGGGAGGAAGCAGAGATTTAGCATTTCAGTTTCACAAATCGTAAGTGTTCGCCATGTTGATGAGGATAATCACCTTCACTGCCACTGAGAGTCCAGACTGCCTTTGATTGTAATAATGGGACACCATAGATTACAATTCTTCATTTCTTTTTTCTTTTTTTTATTTTTTTATTTGCTATAGGGCACAGACACTCCTTGGAAAGGCAGAGACAGGAAGTGAGAAATCAACCTCCTGGGGGTGTGGCCCTGCAACAATCCTTTCTCCTCCGTTCTTCTCTTGAGATTTTAGGAATGCACACACACATGGTCATTGTGAGTTTCACACCTTCAACATCCGGTCCTTCAACTATAGTTAATCACATGAAACTCAAGCACCTTAACCACTATACTACCTGAAGACCCCAAGATTCCACATTTCTGGCGTAGGAAGTTTAGCTCCACTTGTCTTATTAATATTATTCTTAGATAATACTAGTGCAATAGTGAATGATTTTAGAAGAATGAAAGATTAATCCTCTCTCACATTTCTCTCTTTGAGATGCCCATTTATCTTCACAGATTCAACATAACACAGAGTCAACATAATTTCTGAGTTCTGTTTCACAAACATACCTGCACACAGAAGCATGTGTATGTTGAATCCAGAGTTCTGTGTTCCGGTCTAATTTTCTTTTCTTATACACATGTTTAGTGTTACAAATTTTTCATGAAAAGAGAAGGCTTTCTTTTTCTTTTGATATGTTTTTTATGTTTTTCGTTTGGCCATAGGTCATATGCGCTTGTGGTAGACAGATAGGTAGACACCATGGGAAAGTGAGAAATCACCCCTAGGGTAGACGGCCACGTCATAATCCCCTCTTCTTCATTCTCCTCTTAGGATCTGAGACACACACACATGGGGCACACTGCACACACACACATGTACCTGCACCCTCCTTGGTGTGACTATCTAAGCTGCTAAGTCTGAGAACTGAATTGTAGTTGCCCAGGTGGGAGTCCAGCCCCTTAACCATCATGCCACCTACTGACCCCAGGAAGTGTACGTTTTCTTTCTTGGCATAGCTTATCATATCTATCTAGTCTGCCTAGTGATTAATATCAAATTATTTCTAGTGTTATATGACTATAATTACATAATACTTATGGGAAAACTTAGATCATTGCAATATTTATTCTTTATTTGCAGGAAAATTGAAGCATGTTTAATGAATCTTTGTACATTTTGTATTTTAATATGTCACATTTTGTTTTGATATATTTTTATTGACTATATCCCTTGTTAATAATATGAGATGACAGACCGTGGAATTCATTAGAATGTTGAGTTCTCATTCTTTAAAATAATATTTTCTCATTTTCCCTCTCTCTATGGTCAAAGTAAAATCATAATAATTATAAATAAACTTTAATTACATAACTCCTCAAGTAAAAGAACATAGTTGAAAAAAGAAGAAAGTATTTCCATAGTATTTATTTACACTTGCTCTGTGGTTACTACATTTTTAAAAAGATTTAAACCTTCACGTCATCCACAGATAGCTCTGGAGATTACACATCTTTTATTCCTTTTTTTCTCTTTTATTTTGTTTTGTTTCTTTTTAAAGTATGGTAGAGGACATGTGTGCTCAGCAGAGAGAGAGAGAGAGAAAGAGAGAAGGTGAGTAAGAAAGCAGCATGGGGGGTGTCACACTGCAATCCCTCCTCTATTTCTCCTTTTAAGATTTTGGGCATGCACTCCTATGTACCTGGCGTGTTTTTTAAGCCACTAGGTCCAGGACGTGAACCATCTAGTTGGTCATGTGTGATTCAGCTGCTTTAACCACCTAGCCATCACCTGGCCAACACCTGCCATGGGAGT